CTGAGGACCGTCCTGGCAAAAAATGCCAATTTATAAGTTTATTTTGATATTTTCAAAAAATAAAAAAGTTATAAAACTTCACTTCCTGCATCAGTTTTTCATTCAAAACAGGCAAGTGAAGCATTTCTTTCATTATTGGCTATGTCCGATTTGACACAAAGGCTTGCGGCCCCAGTTTTAGTTCCTTATGTTCTACCTTAGGCACGCTGCGCAACAATTTCAGCCATCTACCACAAGGCTTGGCGGCTCTGTTAAAAAATGAAGAAGGTTTATATTCTCCGCATCGGCACGTGTGATTAAAGACGAAACTGGTACGATGATGCGCATGCGTTCCTGAGGCCTCACTAAAAAGAGAATAAAAAACCACGCCACTGGGTGCGCGCTCTGGTGGCAGGGTTTAAATTCATCTCGCGAAGACCGGTAATAGTTATGAATATGAAAGTTCACAGGGCACGGTGTAGGGACTTGGTGTTTGTAGCTCACATAGCCCAAAAAATTTCGTGGTCTTTTATTTGAACGAACTTTCCTCTAAGGGATATATCAAAGTCAATTTCAAAAAGGTGGTTAGTGAGGGCAATGAAATTAAACTGTAGATAAAAACTTGTGCTACTTGTGACTGTGCGTCAAACGGCATGCCCATGGTGTGGCGTGCATGGCGATTTTGATCTGGTTTACGGGAATTTTCCATGTTGTGGTCAGCATGTGATACGACGGCAAGTAACGCGGCTGCACCACGCCCCGAGTTGCATCAAGTGCGGGGTCCCTGCTTGCAGCTTTAATTGGTTATTGCATTGGCTGAAAAAAATCCATATTGTATATCCTTACTAATTACTTCTATGTTTTAATAAAATCTAAAATCTGGTTGTTTTAAAAAGTGCACTTGAACTTCATCTGTTCTACTCGTCTGACCTCGTGCTGCTCATGGATTGAGTTGAAAAGGATTATTTGTTGCAGTTTGACATTGCAAGACATAGTATTCTATCCCAAAACATCAGAAGCAGATATTCCGATAGAATTTGAAAAGCCCGCTGCTTTTCCTACTGTGTGTAGCTGTTGGTGAGGATGCTATTACTCAGCCATGAAGTAAGACTGACGACTCTCCCTAATGAACAGTTTTAATAGCACTAATGGTATTTATGAATCCTGCTTTGTCTGCTGAATAATACACAGATACTTTAGATGCTTCACAAATACATCTGGTCGAGTAGTATCAGAGCACGAAAGCTGAGACTGAGCTTTCCCACAGTGGCTTATGTATGTATTTCAGCTAATCACATACACTGTAACTAGGAGATAGGAGCTAGGAGATAGTTACAGTATTTGCTTCAATATTCAAGACCTTGTCCAATTTTGGACTAAAGAATATGTGTTACTGTCACGTTTTACCCTGCCTTGTTGTGAAAAGTACATGTGTATGAAAGTGCAGTATAAACCATGGTTCACCCAGCAGACCGTTGTTCGACTGTTGTGAAACCAAAAGTGAACGTTGCCATTGTCAGGTACGCAACTGTAATCCTAGTTGCACAAAGTAAAGTGTCAGGTTCACTTTGTGCACAAGTTCCAGACTGTAAGATTTTAGAAAAACTGCCCTTTAGTACAATATTAGACCAGTGTATTCTACATAAAGGTCTGGAGCTCTTGAAACATTGGTGTTGCAGAAAACTGGTCTTTTCCCCTTCTGATTCATTTATAATTTATACAGTCAATCTGCTGTTTTTTTTTACCATTTCTTTAACATTAGCAGAAAGTATTAGAACAAGACAAGAGTAAAAAGTGATATAATTTGGTACCAACCAGCAGTTTTTGAGTATGTACAGTGACAGTCACAACTTTATTGTGAGTGTGCTTTGGTGCATTAATGTGATATGAGAAACAGCTCACTTTAGCAACTTCTTAGTGCACATGAATTGAAAAATGTGTGAGTTGTACATGTTCTTAGCGCTTGTATTTTTAATAACCACTGGGTTGAGTGTGATAAATGATGCATGTTTTACACTGAAAATATCTATTTAATAAACTAACCACTCAAAACAGCACATAGATCCTCTTCCTCTGGTGCAATTTCCTGTTGCAGTTTGACAGACATGCCTGTACTTCGAAACCACAGCTTCTGTGCCTTCGCTTTTGCCGTTTTATTCTTAAAGCATGGGGAGCATAGTGGAGATATTACTGTGGGCCTTGATTATCCTGGACTCAGGGGGGTGTTCAGTCTCACTGCCAGAAATCACTGATGGAAACTTCATTAATCAGTGTGTGATGGAGCACAACAGGGCACGGTCATCCGTCAGTCCAGCTGCAAGTAATATGCTGTACATGGTAAGCATGAGGTAATCTTCCATTTCTCACTAGCTTTCATATCGTTGTTGCAGTCCTAAAATGTTGAACTGAGTTAGCATTTAGGCACTTCCAGTTCACTTGGCTCAAAGTCAATGAGTTTTTGACTAGATGCCTGAAATAAGGTTAGTGGGTAACACAAAATGAAATTTGAGGGTTTGTCATACGACATTTAATACCCCAGCTGTGAATGTTGAATCTTCGCGTGTCTTAAATAACACTACGTAGGTTGTCATAATATTAAACGTCATAATGCTGAAGAAGTAAAACTACTCACTAGTCCACTTTTATTGCTATGTTGTGTTTCTACTTACGCTCTATTCTAACTCAAACAATCAAACTTGTAGATTTTATTTACATGATGTTATTACAAGTTGAAAGTTTAGTGGTGGTAGTTAGTTTATGGCCTGTTGGCTTTTTCCTTGTGATGATCACATATACGCTTAAAAAATAATCATAATAATTGATATATCATAAATCTTTGTGGGGCACAGAGATTATTTTCAGCAATAATACAAAATCCAATGTAAAAATCTCATTGGCCTTTTGTCGAAGGGACCAGGGTTAAGCTAACTTCCAGGTTGGCCTACAAAAATACGTCATCCCTGAAGAAAGGAAGGAAGCTATGTTAGCTATATATATTAGTTATATATAGTATAAACTTCTCCATAAAAGATGTAGGATATTTAGACCTTCTATTGAATTAACTGTGTGAACTTTTCATTAGTGTTCAATTTCTTCTTTTCTCCCCCTATCTATTGAATGAAATTTGGTCCAATTTTGAGAACAAAATGCCAGGGGGACTAAATGGTACAGTATGGACAAGATACAAAAATGAAACTAACTCAGACAAAGTCTTTGGAAAACAAATCAGCTTTCTTACGTATTGTTTATTCTTCACTGTTGTGACCACCACAAACTTAGAGTCACCTCCATTCTGTTGGAGAAATTTCAAAACCTGGACAAACGCTTTACTGTTACTGACATTCTTTATCTCTGCTCATTAAGACATGGGATGAAGGCTTGGCCATCACTGCAAGAGCGTGGGCAAGACACTGTCTATTTGAACACAACACCTTCCTCAACGATGTCCGCCGAGTGCACCCTACCTTCAGCTCAGTAGGAGAAAACATATGGACAGGCTACCCGCCATCATCTTTTGATGTGGCACGTTCAATTAAAAGTTGGGTGGATGAAACACAACACTATGACTACAACAGCAACGCCTGCACTAAAGTCTGTGGCCACTACACACAGGTCTGTGTACTTTTCTTTGGAAATATACTGACAACGTACTTGTGTTTTCTTTCTGTGGTGAAATGTTTAAAGAGTTCAGGGCAATTAACAATGAGTAACTAGTCATGATGTTTTATATTTGTATTATATTATATATTTTGATTAATTTAATCCTTTTGTTGTCTCCAGGTTGTGTGGGCAAGAAGCTACAAGGTTGGTTGTGCTGCCCAGCTGTGCCCAAATGGTGTCAAAAACACTGGATTTGGTTCTAGAGAGAGTGTGATTTTTGTATGCAACTATGCTCCAGCGTAAGTTGAATACATCTATGAATATACTGTAACTCTGAGTTTATGAATTAGAAAACTGTTTACAAGGGCTCCAAAAGTGTCGGACCATATTTTACAAAAACTGGCACCTGTCTCTCCAACATTTTAAAATGTCTTTTTTTCTGTGGTGACATTGAAAGGTTTCTGCTCACCCTGTGACCAACTTGTCGGTTGGTGTTTGAGGTTGAGGTTGAGGTTGAGTTAGAGGTTAGGCGATGTTTCAGTCTTGCTTTGATGAGTAAAAAGGAAGTAGCACACAGTCCTGCCATGTGTCTTCACTGTAAGCACCTAACAAGGTTCAGCACATTAAAGCATAGGCCTAGCAGTATTCTGTTTTACTTAGAATCATGAAATGTATGAAATTGCATGAAATGATCAAAACCAACAATGAATGTATCTCCTAACAATAACTGTGAATGGATCAGAGCCTGATCTTCTACCTCTGTTCTCTCAGCTCCATTGTTGTCCAAAAACACATCTGTGAGCCACACTGTTGTACTGGGTGACATGATCCTTCATTACCATGAATACATACACTGTAGTTTATTTTGATTTGATCCCTCATACACCGTCCTGCTGCCCTAAACACTCACTTTAGTACCGAATGTGTATTAATCCACTGCTGAAAATAGTCCCCAGAAAATACACTACTGCCTCCTGTTCATAACATCTGTATATATAGTTCTAAAGATGTATGCCTTTAGTAGAAATGAATGGACTGAGTGCCATAGAGTAGTGAAGACAGATAGTATTGAGAGATGGAATAACACACTGTTGATTTGGGTCTTTGTTGACAATAAGAAACAAAAAATAATGGCAGCCTTATCCTCTAAAGGCCCTGACACACAATAAGGAAATAAAGAGGGCAGGAAGTTCAGGGTTCAGAGCACAGATCACCCCAGGATAAGCAAACATTTGCTTCCACCTATAATAAGGGAAAGTGATTTGTTACTGTGAAAGTGATTTAATTTGGATGATGTTCCTTTCCTTGTGCAGGGGTAACGTGGCCAGAAGGAAACCATATGAAACCATGGGTACAGAATGTTCTGGATGTGAAGGCACATGTGAAAATAGTCTCTGCCGTGAGTAAATAAAATTTGCTTTTTGTGACTCTCAGCTGAATCATTTCATGACTGGCTGAAAACCACAAATTCAAGGAAGCCAAGAAGAAAAAAAAGGCTAGAGTTTCCTTGTGTTATATATAGCTGACACTGACCTTAACACACTACTTTACAAAGACATAAGAAATAAATATAAACAGTTTCTAATGTGTTTTATTGTCTTTGCAGGTAGCCAAGAACGTGATTCACAGAAAAGTAAGTGATTATAAAATGGTTACCCTCACTTTGCTAAAAGTATCAAAAGTAAGTGTCAAACATTGTGTTAGTGAAGAAGAGAGCAATACATTTCACTGGATATATCACAGCCCACACAGTACTAGGTACTATTTTGTCATGTACAACTACTAATACAGAAAAGACTCACACTAACAACTCATTTGTTTTTCTAGGCTACAACTGGAGCCCAGACTGGGACCCTGCCGTGGCTGTCAGTGGCTCCAACTATGTGTCTATTCTGATTGCCCGACCCATTGCCCTCATCTTCACCTTCATCACAGCATATGTAGTCCACCACTTTTACCCTGATGTCTTCTGCTACGAATAGACCACCTATGAAGGACATGGACTTATTCAGTTAGTGCCAAGATGAAGATTTTAGTTCAATTCAACTTTATCAACTTAATTAAACAGCTTTTATGTCCCAATACAACCGTACTTCAAAAAGGTCCAGTGTACAACATTTAGGAGGGTCTACATGCAGAAATGGAATATGATATTCATAGTGATATAATATATTTCAATAGTGTATAATCATGGGGTTGCTATCTGCAACTGCACTGCTAGATGCAACTAAATCCAACACACTGGACCTTTAACTGTCAAAACGTACTTGCCTTTTACCCAGCTTCTTTGTAGAGACACAGTGACACCGTTAGCCACAGGTTTAAGCCGTCAGACAGGAGACAAGCAATCTACTCCCCTCAGGTCTGGGAGAGAAAAAAGTGAATGCATAGTCAAATGGCTATGTGAAATGTAAAAGATGATTTTATGGCCCATAACTTTTAGATTCCAAGTCATTCCGGCTTGCACATAATCAATAACAGCGATGGCCACACAAACCATGCAGGTTAGATTTGTGTCCGACGTGATGCCAACCTGCTCTGACATCTTTCACACGTGGGCAACGATAACCTTGCGAGTTGAGGCGGTTGCAATTTTTACAACCCAGGCACCGCAGTTGCTCTACACCGATTGCAATTAAGATTGAATTTTTTCACAAACCTATCTTGTGTGGTTGATAATAACAAAGTTTATTCATAATCTGAGTGTGGTGTGTAGGTAGCCTAGACTCTAAATGAGTGCTAATCATTTGCTCTGTCTGGATGAATACATAGCAACTCCTAGCTAACATGTTGCAACATCAGCTGTATGAGGTGATAATATGTCAGTATTACATCAATAGTGCTTTGATGGTAGTACTCTGCAACAAGGATTCTGCAGGTTTCAACAGGTTCACTGTAAGACCTTTTAATATGCAATTTAAGAGCCATTTTACATGCATACTGGAAAAATAAATTGTCATCAGTATTGGTTCCTTGTCTGTTCCGTTTTGTAGTTGTTACATCTTTCCCAAAAACACGAATACAACACTGAACACGCAACTTTATACAAGTAGCATTAACATCATTAATCCAATCGACGTTTAAGACAAAAAATGTCAAAATCACATTTAAGATGTTTTAAGGCCTAAAATTCTGATTATTGGATTTAAGACTTTTAACACCCTGTGGACTCTGTGCAAAGCAATTAATGTGACTAAATGAAATTAAGGCACACCTAAGAAAAAAAATTTGATCCAGATGTTTAAAAATCCTCCTTTAATTTTACATTTCCATCGGTTTGTCCGCCTCTTCCTGAATCCACATCAGTATTCAGGAGGAAAAATATACTTTGAAACGTATAAACACTGACCATACAAAGTCTGAACAATAGTTAGAAGACAAATGAAGACATCATCATTTTCTGGTGGTCTGTTCATGTCCTTTGACAGAGTTGGTGTCCAGATAGAAGATTATAGATTGTAACATGAACAGGAAATCGTCACCACAGAAGTAGCTCAATAGAAAACGTCCATGACGGAATTCATTTTGATCCAAGCACACACACTGTATGCCTCCTGTTCCTTTGTCCCTACAGAGTCCTTGTTCTGTCCAACAAGACTGCTAAACAAATACCATTTCACATGGTACACATTACAACAGGGGTGGTGTAAGTGCGTGGTTAGCCTTTGTTTTTTGTTTTGCTCTTTTTCTTTTTGTTGCTGGTACTGCTGGTGGGAGTTGCTGGGTTCACTGGGGGAGCCCCCAGTTTCTTGGTTTTTGCCCTTTTCACTTTCTCCTTAATGGCTTCGATGTCCAGCTTGCCTTCTGTAGGAGCTGTGACAAAAACAAAATAAACAAGGGTGAGACAGAGCTCAGCTGTATTGTTACAGTGTACAGTTTACGATATGTTTGCTTTGCTCTTGAATAAAGTCTTCTTTTATTTCTACCTTTAGTGGTTTTCTTCATCAATGGCTTCTCTTTAGGAGGAATGAAAGCTTTGTTCCGCTCTTCCTGTTTCTTTGTCAGAGCCTCTGCTTGTTTCACCTAAGAAAGAGGAACAATGACATTTCTCAGAATATGACGCAACTCTTGATTCCAGACTGTACACAACACATACACATCATCATCCTCATAATACAGATACTTCATGTGAACAGGCACTGTAGCCCAGCACCTGATGAATCCACTCAATGCTCACCTTTATCTCTTCCATCTTCTTCCTCTTTTTCACACTTTCACGCAGGAAGAATTCTCCTGTGGCCAACTCCTTGTCAACCTACAACAATGATCCACACAGTTAAAAATTTAAGTTCAAATAAATAGTTTAAATATGCAGAAATAGCCGCTTGAGTATAGCTTTTTATAATACAGTTCAATGTTGGGTGAGCAAGTGTGCACTCATGGGATATGCTACGTTAACTTTAGCTCTTGTAGCAAATAAAGTAACTAGTGTTAATGTCCGTAGACGACATAGAAGTTGTTATTCAACTATGACTAAAGGCGTTTTCAAAGTTCTGACCTTGCTGTCTGGCTGGGATGGAGGGAATGGTGTGTACTCCTTCTTCACACTCTTCTTCTTGGGCTCCCTGCGCTTGGCCAGGTTCTTGTGGCGGAACTTGGGCAAGAAGCGTTCCCAGCTCTGCACCCGCAGTTCGGGGTCTTTGGACAGCTCCCGTTTGATCATCAGTGTCTGATGGTTCCAGCGAATATGAGAATATGAAAAGGGGTGGTGGGGTGGGTGGAGTAAAAGTGATAAAAATGTGATACTTTGGTGAGGTTTACTTTCACTCTACAACAAAATATACTTACATTACCAGCAGCTATCAATGCTGAATCACACTGGCTTAGTGGTAATAGTAAGACTTCTACAGTTAGCTGAGACAGTTACAAACTGATAAAACCTGCATTAACCTCTCAACTGTTGGACAAACTTTGTCCGAGAAAGATCACCAGTAGAGAAGTTGCTGCAGGGCTCTCCAGGTCGAGTGTGCTAGCATGTTCGTAAAATGTGTCCCAGTTTTTTCTTAATCAAACAAAATCAAATCATATGAAGTAGGGTTCAAATAGTGAAACTACTAACCAGCACAGACGATTTTAGCCATTCGGTTGTGTTATGTAAGTAGCAGCTAATGTAGCCCTGCACTTCTAGCGTAAAGCATAACCTCAGATTGGTTAATTTTCAAACTCTTCCATCAGCTTTCACTTGAAAAAAAGCTTTATGCAACTTTATTTAAATATGCAGTAGTACTTGCCAACACCGGTAAACACATATTTGTGTGAGAAATTGGTGGAGTTCCCCTTAAAGGTGTAAAACCTCAATGCCTGTATATATTTATAGTTTCATAAAAAAGTATTTTAATTTGAAGGCAGTGGTCTTTACTGCGGAAGAACCACAGGAAATAGTGACATTAGCTTATGAAAACATTCAGATGTTTTTCGGCACTTTTTGCCAGAAGGACGAATTTGAAATGGACACAATGAGTTCTTATTACATCTCTAACATGATGAAGGTGCACAGGTCTGAAAACAACAACCTCTGTCACAGTTATGTAGTTAAGCAGTTTAGACACAAACAAGATGGATCCACACATGTAGTGGTTAGATGTAGACAAGAAGTGTTTGGGCAAACATCGATCTCTGATCTCAGCAGCTCAGCGCTCAGTTTGTAAGGCGTGTTCAGTATGTTCCCAAGACTAGTAATCCTACATGACAAAGTGTGGCTGACTCTTTCATGCCCTCAGCTCCAGGTTGAGCCAGCCTTGGCATACAAACCCAGAGAGAGTCATTTCAGTCAGGAGATCAAGAACAAGGATGGAAAACATCTTCATTGGGCATGAATGCAGCCTGTCCAAACATTTCAATCCATCCAGTACTTTTGCCTTTTAGCTGATTCTGTCAGCAGTTTGATCATACCTTGATGTTGTAGATGGGGTGAATGTTCTTCATCGTGTCCATCACCACTTTGCGTACCTGAACAACAGAGAGAGACATGAGACAATGCTTCTACATCCTCTGTTCTTTGTGTAAAAATGTATTCTGATTTTAGTATTCAGGCTTAATTTAGAGATATTTATAATTAAAGAAAACTTAACTCATTATGAAATGCTATTTCATCATGCTCATCATTTTCATAAGAGGTGAATTTGTATATCAATTCTGCATTTAAACATTTTTATTTCAAAATACCCTTTTACAAATTACATTTATTTCCCAATGAGACTTTCATATGTCAACACAAGTCATTCAAGTAATATTTTGGGGCTCCATACCCACTGGCTCTACTCTTTAATCTAACTGCTGCTGCAACCACTCAAATTTACCAACAGAGATCATTAGGAGCTTTCTCTATCACTATCCGAACACCACAGAGTCTAACAGGAGGAAGGCAAGCAGACACACAGACACACACACAGAGACGCCACACACACACACACACACACACACACACACACACACTTTAGCGCGTGCCAGGATGTTGTGGGAAGGTTAACACCATAAAAGTTACCTAGTGTTTACTCATTTTCATGGCTGGAACGGATCTTCATAATCAAGTTTATAGTCAGATTCCTGTTGTGACACACTGAATTGTGTGGTTCCTGCCTCATGATCAGGTCAGTTCTCCAACCTTTATATCCTCCCACTAGACTCTTGTGGAGCAACAGGGTGCTCTGATGTTCTTACCTCCTTCAGGCCATTGAAGGGCCCAAGGGCCGACACCGTGTTACCTGCACCATCACATAGCAGCTTGGTCAACAAACACAACTCTAATCCTGAAGAAAAGGGACAGAAACAAAGTAAAGCACTTAACTCATGACTTAAAAAGAATTAGCTGTTTAACCGTTTGCAATACTGCTTCAATGATACAGATAGTTTGGCGATTAGAGCATAAGGAGATGTTCCTTTTTTGACCCAAAGGAGACGTTCAAATGCACGCATAACAGAATGTAGGCAAAAAGAGTAGAAAGAATACAATAAAATAATTTTAACTGTGTACTAACTATAATATATATACCACTGCATGTTTTTGCACAAAAAAAAAAAAGAAAAAAGAGTTTGCTTAGCAGGTTAAATAGCTAATCTCCACCTAGTGACCATTATCTCAACTGAACCACAGAAACAGACCAAGTCCAGACAGCAGGTTTGTTTTTTTAACCACACTGTTTTTGCTGAGAAAAACATTTTTACAGTGCTTCACCATCACCTCCAAGTAAACCACTGTAACAGTTAAAAGCCCTCCACGAGTTTCACTTACCCACTCTGTATAGACTCCTAATGCCTTACTATAAACTCCACTCCAATATTCCAGATATACTCTGCTTATGAATAATATCTTGTTTAACATAGTTTCCCCATAAAGCACATCTCTCTTTCTCCCGCATTGTCAATTCTGGATCTATGTTCAGCCATAGCTTACATTTTGAGAAGCAGAGTATCAGATGGAAAGTGGCTCAACATCTTCTATTTTGTTATTCGTTAGCTTGTAACTGGCTTGGCTGGCACGCATTAGTTGTGTGAAACATGTAATATCTGCTGCAATGTTACAGGTTAACATTGTTATGTATAGATAGTAAAGGAAGCTCCGGGTCAGTACATCCATAAGTGCGCACCCTACATGTTTGCCAACCGCTGCTCTCTGTACTGGCAAGTCCGCTCTGCACTGGAGTCTCAAGGTTTCTTGCTTTTGGCATTTGCACGTGACAACAGTTGCTTTTGATTGTGTGTACCAATCTGCCAAGCTCCCTTTTCATTGAAGACTGTGAAAATAGCTCTCTGTGACAGACTTTGCACAGATACAGTCAGTAAGTTGATGTCGGATATTTATGGGACATAAAAATAGGGAATAAACTGAGGGGAAGGGATCCTCAGTCAGTGACCTCATTAAGCGCTTTCCACTCCTCATTTGAAGCTTGTCACCTTGTTCAGAGTAAGTTACTCAGGATAACAGTCATCGTTTATCAATCCAACAACAATGAAAAGGAAGTAGTATTGACTAAGCATAACTGCTGCTTCCGGACAGCTAGGAGATGTTGCTGATGAAGCTGGACTTAGGTGTGGGACTCACTTTTAGGGTGGAGCCTTGGGCCCAATCAGCCGCTGTCTTCGCTTCACAACCTCTGTTCCTCACCAGGTCCCAATTATGAGTCCCACATGCCACGTCATCCTTAATTCGTACAGCCTGGAACGCAAACACAGTGTGAACTGGGAGAAGTGAACAAGACAGCACAACCCAACCCCAAACCCTACCCATGACAGCAGCATATGAGCCCATTCAGAGCCGTATGACAGGCGGTGTCTTCGTGTTGATTTGTTTAGCATTTTTCCCTCAGGGACAATAATATTTATTAGGTGTTCCGATTCCGATACCCAGTATCGGAAATGTCTCCGATACTGCCGAAAATGCTGGCATCGGTATCGGCGAGTACTGGAGCCAGCACCATCCGACCACGTAATTTATTAAATTAGTAATCATTTACTGGTTACTCCGTTAGCTCTGGTACAGTTCTTCTCCCGTCTTAAAACGTGGCGCTGTGCTCAACCTGCAGCTGCTGTTTTAGGGGGACGAGGAGGAATGATCACGTACTCCGACACAACAGACAACACACGTGCTGTCAGAGCGGTTGATGCCGAGCTTGGAGCTAAGCTAAGTAGCACTATCATGTCAGCGGTGTGGCAATATTTCACAATGAATCTCCACCAGTAGACTGC